GCCGTCCAGCCGCTGCTGAGCCTCATCCGCATCAGCAGGCAGTCCCAGTTGAGCATCGTCCTGTACTCGTGCAAAATAGTCTCGCTCTGGCGGTGGCCCCGCCAGTGGGTGGCAGCCCGCATGCGCAGGGTGCGCCCGAGGAAAACGCTTCGGTCCCGTCAGGGTGATCTGCATGTGGCGCCGCGGCTGCGCGGCCAGGTCGAAGCGCACTGGGTGATGAGATCTGGGCGGCCACTTCTCCACCGAGCGCGGGCTCTCGCACGCCTTCACCATATCCGCCGAGACCATCCAGTAATCAATCATGCTGTAGTGGCCTTTCGCACTGCGACACGTTCCCTCACAACGTGCTGGCGTGACGATGGCGGCTGACAGCATATCAAGGAGGCCCATGGTCTCCAATTCGTGTGGGGGTGCATTCCAGTCTCCCGCGACGATGAATGGCACTGCAAAGTGGCGCAAGCATGCGCCCAGCCGCATGAACCTGGTGTAGTTCGCGCTCACGTAGTTGCTCAAGCCGACGGACTCCATGTACACCGACCCGATGACCAGCCCGCCTGGGGGCCCCGTCTGCACGTGCAACGCCATGGCCCAGGCTGGCGATATGTTGAAGCCCTTCATGACAGGACAATATGATAACAAAGTGACGGGGATATGCTCTCGCACGAAGATCCCTACCCCAACCGAGGGCTTCATTGATTGCAATCTCCTGCATGGTGAAATGCACGGCTTCCATCCGTGTCTCAAGGCCCACGTCTGGGCACGATCCACAGCTTCACCGTCAAGTCTAAGTTCCTGCGCACACACACAACTTGAGCGTCCCCCACACCTTCAAGCAAAAATTGCTGCAGAGTATTCCAGCAAGGCCCATTGAAGGTGATCGCGCCCATGCCGTGCCTGCGTGCTCCCCGCGGTGCTCGTCTACGCGTTCTGCCATGCCTGCGGGGTGTCCATCTCCATGCGCCCGTCTGGTTCGACTGGGATGCCTGGGGCTCGGACTCCTGCGGCTGGGGCGGCAGCAGCTGGTGGTGCGTCCTGAAACGCTGCTGGAGCCTCTGCGGCGGAGGTGCGAAAAGCGGCTCCGACCGCGCCCAGCCCACCTGCTGGCTCCCCATTGGCTCCTGGAACTGCGGGCAAGAGTGCGCCCAGCTGCTGAATGTTGGACACCAGCGAGTCCAGTAGCTGAGCGCCCACTTGCTCCCTCGATTGGCCGAGCTGCACCGACTGCTGGGCGCTGAGGATGGATGTCTGGAGGCTCTGCACCGCCGCTGCCACATTGGCGATGCCCTGGCCTCCCACAGTCGGCTGTGGGACTGGAGCCACGGCCACCTTGGCCTTGGCCACGTCCGCCTGGATGATCGAGATGTCCTTGGCAACGGTCTCGAGCTTGGCTTTGGCGTCGACCAGCTTGGTCTCCATCTCGGCGATCTGCTGAACGAGCTTGTCCTTCTCAGCTTCCTTGGATCCAAGCCTGTCCATGGCACATCGCAGTGCCTCCTCAGGTGGCATGGCGTCTCGCTCCTGGCGTTCAGCTTGTGCCAAGGCGGCGATTGCCAGCTGCATGACCTCGTTGGAGTCGTCGTAGTGGAGGCGCCGCAGGGACTGGACAGCCTTGCGACACCGTGCCACCTCTGACCCAGCTGAAGCAGGTCCACCAGCAGCATCAGGGCCACGATCACGCCCAGGATGATCGCGCGCCCCACGCGAAGGCGGACGTGGGCGGCCGGTGTCACGCCGTCCATCTCTGTCGCGCCCACAATTCCAGCACGTGCTCCTTGTGGCGAAATTGTTCTTGAAGCCGCACTGCTTGGACGCCGTGCATGCCCATGACCCGCTGGCTTGCTGCGCCAGCTGCCTCCATGGCGGGGTCGGCGCCGCTGCGTCAGGACCAGCTGCAGCGCCCGCGCCTGGAGCACCCGAGGCCTGCATGGCCCAGTGCTCGCCGTGATGCCGCCTCAGGAGCCGCCGAGCCGCGTCGAGCCTGAACTCGCGGCGGGCGGTGGCTCTCGCCCGACGGGCTCGCCTATGCCAGGCGGGAGAGCGACTCCTGGACCGCGCTCCAGGAATCGCGGCGGCAGTGCACCAGCGCCCGCTGCACGGGCCGCTGGCTGGGGCCAGATGGTCGCGCCCGCCCCTCGCCCCAGCGGGGGGGGCACGGAGCCCAAATGGCAGCCTAAGGAGGGAAGACGACGACGACGACAACGACGACGACGACAACGACGGCGACGAAATAGGAGGGACGACGACGAGACGCCGACGACGGACGACGACGACGATGAGGGAGGAGGAGGAAGGACGACCGCGGCGACAACGACGACGGAAACGACCACGACGCCAAAGAGGACGACGACTACGAACCCGAGGAAAGACAGAGGACGACGTAGGCGAAAACGACGACGACGAGGGAGGAGGGAGGACGACGACGACGACGACGCAAGAGCGCGCGCGCACGCTTTTGTTGAAAATCCGTGTTGCGAAACCTTGTGTAATTGTAGTTCTTTTGGACACACGATTTCTGAAATCATTCCGAAACCGATGGGTTTTGAAGGATTTCGGCATACGCGCACGACGACGCGCGCGTCTGCACTTCGTCCCTTTTGTTGCAGAGGATTCTCGCGACGGCACACGCGCAAGGGCGTTCGACAGATTTCGCCATGCGCGCGCGAAACCCGTGTGGTAGCATTTTGTGAAAATCTTGAAAAATCTATGGTTTCTTAAGATTTCGCAAGAGCTCGCGCGTAAGCTTGTTTAGCAAATCAGTGTTGCGAAACCATGTGTTTTTGTATGTTTTTTACCTAACAGCGAAGACTGATAGGTTTCTAGTGGTGTCAAAAGAGACCATCTGATGACTCAGAAGGGAGGTCTGGGCGGCATCCGGACAGCGAGGGCCAGGCTCAGGGCCGGGCTCGTTTTAAGCAAACAGTCACACACTTCGTGCTCTTCGACCTCCCAGAACTCCATTCCCGGGCCACATTTTGAATGCCCGGAGCCAACTGTAGGCCACTTCGTGCTCTTCGACTTCCCAGAACTCCATTCCCGGGCCACATTTTGAATGCCCGGAGCCAACTGTAGGCCACTTCGTGGTCTTCGAGTTCCCAGAACTCCATTCCTGGGCATGATTTTGAATGCCCGGAGCCAACTGTAGGCCACTTCGTGTTCTTCGAGTTCCCAGAACTCCATTCCCGGGCCACATTTTGAATGCTGAAAGGCTGAACTGCGAGGCAGGCTGAGCCCGGAGCCAACTGTAGGCCACTTCGTGTTCTTCGAGTTCCCAGAACTGGGCCAGAATGCTGAGGCAGGCTGAGGAGGCTGAGGCAGGCTGAGGCTGAGGCAGGCTGAGGCTGAGGCCGAGGCTGAAGGCAGACTGAGGCTGAGGCTGAGCAGGCTGAGGCTGAGGCTGAGGCAGGCTGAGGCTGAGGCTGAGGCTGAGGCTGAGGCTGAGGCTGAGGCTGAGGCTGAGGCAGGCTGAGGCTGAGGCTGAGGCAGGCTGATGCTGAGGCAGGCTGAGGCTGAGGCTGAGGATGCTGGCTGAGGCTGAGGCTGAGGCTGAGGCAGGCTGAGGCAGCTGAGGCTGAGCTGAGGCCGAGGCTGAAGGCAGACTGAGGCTGAGGCTGAAGGCAGGCTGAGGCTGAGGCTGAGGCAGGCTGAGGCTGAGGCTGAGGCAGGCTGATGCTGAGGCAGGCTGAGGCTGAGGCTGAGGCATGCAGGCTGAGGCTGAGGCAGGCGGAGGCTGAGGCCGAGGCAAAGGCAGGCTGAGGCTGAGGCTGAAGCAGGCTGAGGCTGAGGCTGAGGCAGGCTGAGGCTGAGGCTGATGCTGAGGCTGAGGCTGAGGCAGGCTGAGGCCGAGGCTGAAGGCAGACTGAGGCTGAGGCTGAAGCAGGCTGAGGCTGAGGCTGAGGCAGGCTGAGGCTGAGGCTGAGGCAGGCTGATGCTGAGGCAGGCTGAGGCTGAGGCTGAGGCTGATGCAGGCTGAGGCTGAGGCAGGCTGAGGCTGAGGCCGAGGCTGAAGGCAGACTGAGGCTGAGGCTGAAGCAGGCTGAGGCTGAGGCTGAGGCAGGCTGAGGCTGAGGCTGAGGCTGAGGCTGAGGCTGAGGCTGAGGCTGATGCTGAGGCAGGCTGAGGCTGAGGCTGAGGCTGATGCAGGCCACTGCGACTGTCATCGCGAATGCGACTACGACTGCGAGAAGAGCAGAATTCTACAACTGGATTCTCATCTGAATCTTAAGGGGAAATCTTCAAAATATGCTCCTACACATCACTGTTAGGTTGCTTTGCCGGGATAATTTGGAAACTCGATTGCGAAATCCTTCCGACACCGAAGGTTTTTGAAGGATTTCGGCATGCGCGCTCGACGACGCGCGCGTGTGCACTTCGTCCCATTTTTTGTAGGGGATTCGTGAAAAAGTGTTATGTTAGAACAAAAATGTCACCGCATAGTGTTTTTTACAAGGGAACCTCAGGGGTGGGGAACCCGGTTGGCCTGGGACATTGTGATTTCATATTCAGGATGGACATGTGGTCATAATCATATGTGATTTACATACCCGAAAGAGTGATAACGCCGGGGGGGTAGAGTCTATTCTGTTTTGAGACAGGAGAACCCATGCACGTAGTATAATCGATGCGGAAGCTCTGCACAGCAATGCAATGCAACAAAAACAATGCGACCAATGCGAATGCCACACGATCGCAACGCACAACAAAGCAATCCAACGGCGACGGCGGCGACGGGTGGCGATGAACCGGCCAGATCGCCACTGGGGCTCAACTGCCGGGAACGACGGCGGCGGCGACGGGCGGCAACGAGCCTGCCGGACCGGCACTGGAGCTCAACATTACCTCGGAAGGCATAAATAATTCACCAAGCACTGCTTGGATAACTACACTCGACGAGGAGGAGGAGGAGGAGGAGGAGGAGGAGGAGGAGGAAGAGGAGGAGGAGGAGGAGGAGGATCGCCCTGATCCCCGCACGCTCCATGTTCGATGGGGCCGCCCTCCGGCGCCTCCAGCGCAAGGGCCGCGCCGTAAGCTTCTGGCTCAGGCCCGCCTCCGGCCCGAGGGAGGGTGTCCGCAGCCGCCGCTGCGCGCGGGCGCGCGGGCATGCTTCTTGTCGAGCCTGATCGAGGCCGTCGGAGGGGGGGCCCGTTGAGACGGCGGCGGGCCTCCCTAGCGGTCGTCGTCCTTGTGTTGGGCCCCGTGGACCGGGACAGCAGAATGCGCGTGATGATTCTTTCTGGATCTCTCGTTTCTGCCCCGCCCCCCGCTCCCCCCTTCGCGCTTCTTTCTCGCAGGCATGCCTCGAGCAGATACGTGCTGCCTCTGCGGCGTTTGGGCGCCTGGCTCGGCCGATCGCTTGGACCCAAACAGGCGATGTCCTGATTTTTCCCGGCGCTTTTCCTGGAAGCCCTGACCGGGGCCGCCGACGCCGACGACGACGCCGACGACGCCGACGCCGACGACGACAACGCCGCCGCCGACCTGGGAGGAGGAAAAACAAGACGCAGATGGAGAAGAAGAAGAAGAAGAAGAAGAAGAAGAAGATGAAGAGGGAGGAGGAGGAGGAGGAGGAGGAGGAGGAGGAGGAGGAGGAGGAGGAGGGAGGAGGAAGAGGAGGAAGGGGAGGAGAGGAGGAGAACGAGCCGTTCTTGGACGGTCCCGGGGCCCGGCGAAGGCCCACGGAGGCCGAGAGCGGCCACAGAAGCCCGACGCCGTGATCCTGTGGCAGAGAGCGGGGGGGGGGGCCTCTCCTCGCCGCCACGGCTGGGCCCTCCTCCTCCTCCCTCCTCCTCCTCCCTCCTCCTCCTCCTCCTCCTCCTCCTCCTCCTCCCCCTCATCCTCCCCCTCCTCCTCCTCCTCCTCCTCCTCCTCCTCCTCCTCCTCCTCCTTTTCCTCCTCCTCCCCTTCCCCGGGACGGACTGCGAGCGGACCCGGCCGGGGGGAGCCGCCGCCGCTGTCCCGGCTGGCCCTCCCTCCGAAGTTGGTCGTCGAGCGGGTCGGTCGTCGATCCGCTGGTGGCTTGGGCCGCGGCTTGAGCCAGAGTGGATACTGGGAGGGCACGCAGCGGCTCCCCTCGCGATGTAAGAGGGTGGGGCGGGTGGTGGGGCGGGGACAGGTGGAGGAGAGGAAGACAGGCAGCGAGGGCAGGGGGCGGAGCAGAGGGAGGGAGGAGGATCCTGACGGGGGCGACAAGTGAAGGCGGAGGGGCAGGAACACGGAGCCAGGAGGAAAGAGAGAGAGAGAGAGAGCGAGAGATCCGCCACCGTGCCTGCACGGAGTGGGCGTGTCAGAATGCTCGTCCGTTGTCGGGGAGGGTCTGTAGAGTTTAAGGACGCCCCCCCCTCCTCGCACGCGTCCCTCAAAAACCGCCTCCTCTGAAATTGCTTTCTGGTGGCATTTTCGGCCTCCAGACTGCCAAGATGGCCCCCAAGAGGGCTTCCGAGAAAACGGGGACGACAACGAAGCGGCTCAATATGGCCTCTGATAGCTCAAGAGCTTCCCAAGACTGGCCAAACAGGCCCCCAGGACGGCCCAAAAGTCCCTCAGTCTGGCCCTAGAGAGCTCCAAGAGGCCTTCCTGGAAATCCCGAGGAGGCCAAAACCATATAGTGCCCGCAAGTTTTCGACGTGTTATGAGGTTATCGCCTGTTCGGGTGCCCGACCACCCAAGATAGCTCCAGGAGAGCCCACGATGCCTCCAAGAGGGCCCCAAGTCGGCACAAAAGGACCCAAATAACGCCCAAGGGGCCCCCAAGACGGCCTTGAAACGAAGGGACCAGGGAAGCCTCTTGGGCTGTCTTGGGCGGTCGGGAACCCAAACATGCCAGAACCTCAGAATCCTTCAAATACAAAAAGGAAATCAAGGGCTGTGGTCTCCTCGGGCTCTTCTGCAGGGCCTGTTGGAGACCTCTTGGGCCAACTCTGGCGCGTTTCGATATGTATTGAGGTCTTCTTGGGAGCCTCATGGCCTCCAGGACGGCTCTTAGGGCGGCCAAGACGACGCCAAGATGGCCAAAGATGGCACAATGGGGCCCCGACACCGCCTCAAGGTTTGTCGAGAAACCCCCAAGACGGCCCAAGAGGTCTCCAAAAACCCCTCCTGGAGAGCCCGAGGAAGCCAAAACCATTGATTGTCCGCAGGTGTCTGAAATATTCTGAGGTCCTCACCTGTTCGGGTTTCCGACCGCCCAAGACGGCCTAAGAAGCCTCCAAGAAGCCTCCCATATAGCTCCAAAGCAGCCCAAGAGACCTCCAAAAGGGTCCGAAGTCGGCCCCAAAAGGGCCCACAAATAGCCCAAACGGCTTCCAAGACGGACGTGAACCGCTCCAAGAGGGCACCAACGCGGCCTAGAGAGGCCCCCAAGGCGGCCTCCAAACGTGCCAGACGAGCCAAGAGTACCATAAGACGGCCCAGAGAGGCCCTAATAGGCTCCACAAGGCACCCAATAAGTAGGCCTCCAAGAGGTTCCCAGAAAGCTCCCAGGAGTCTCCCAGGAAGCTCCAAAAAGGCCCACGAAGCCTCTTCCTCATCATCCTCATGTTCTCTCTTTCCTCCTCCTCCCTCCCTCCCGCCCTCCCGCCCTCCCTCCCCCCCTCCATCCCTCCCTCCTCCATCCTCCCCTCCCTCCTCCTCCCCCCTCAACTCCTCTTCTCCCTCTCCTCCGTCCTCCATTATCCCTCTCCTCCCTCTCCTCACTCTCCTCCCACTCCTCCCTTTCCTCCCTCTCCCCCCGCTCCTCCCTCCTCCCTCCCTCCCCCCTCCCTCTTCCCTCCTCCCTCCTCCCTCCTCCCACCTCCGTCCTCCGTCCTCCGCCCTCCCTCGTCCCTCGCCCCTCGCCCCTCCTCCTTTCAGTGAGGGCTCTGTGCCGCGCCGACGGGCGGCGCGGCGTAGCCCGTCAGTCCGACGGCCGCAGGTGGGCCCCGAACTCGTCCTTCCCGAACTTCTTTGCGACGGGCGCCCCTCCTTTGCTCGCGAGCTGAGGGGCGCCCGACCTTCTCTTGCCACGTGACAGCTCGGCTGAGCTGGCGGCCCCCGTATGTTACACGGGGGGCGGGCCGTGCCCCCCTTCGGCCGGTGGGCTGGGGACGGCCTCGCCGCGGCGCACGGTGCGCCGCCTCCTTCTCGTGGCGAGAGCTCCTCTAAGATGTCGTGCGTGCTGATCACCGCTTCTGAGGACCCTGCTCCTGTCCTCATTATGGGCGGCCTCCATGCATTCACTATCTTCAGAGCTGTTGAAGACCCTGCTCCTGTCTTCCTTTCAGTTGAGGTTGAAGTAGGTTCATCACGCCTCGCTGCTGAGGACCCTGCTCCTGTCCTCCTTTCAGCGGGCTGGTCAAGTCGAGGTGATGGTTGTTGTTGGTGGGGTGGAGGTTCTCGGGTTGTCTGTCTTTGTTCTGCCTCGCAGCTGAGGGCCCTGCTCCTGTCCACCTTTCTGCGGGCGCGCCTGCTGGAGGCCGGTTCTGAGGACCCTGCTCCTGTCCTCCTTTTCGGCGTCTCCAGGGCGTGCTCGTCGAGCCTCGCTGTTGAGGGCCCTGTTCCTGTCCTCCTTTCCGGGAGCTCTGTCAAGGTTGCGTCGTGCCGCGCTGCTGAGGACCCTTCTCCTGTCCTCCTTTCAGCGGGCAGGTGGTATCGAGGTGGTGATGGCTGTTGGATGGATGGTGGTTGCGGGGTGGGTGGTCGGTCGGTGGTGAGTCCCATGGGTTGTGGATGGCCGTCTTGAATGTCTATGGGTAGGTCGTGGGGAGTTCGGATTGTTGCTGGGGTTGTGGTACGGGTAATGGGCGCACTTGAAAGGCCTCCATGCACCGACTTCAAGTGGGGTTCGTGGCGGCCCCACCTCGTCCCGACATGGCTAGGGGTCACGGTGCCCTCGGCGGGGGCGAACCCCAGGCCTGGTGCTTGCTGCTGTCGTCGGTGAGGAATGTCTCGGCTGCCCTCTGCTTCGCCGCCTGGGCGATCGGGCAAGCGCCACCTTCGCCATGGGAATGGTGGGGGTGGCGAGCTAGGGCGGACCACGGGGGCGCGGGTAGTGGCCGTCCTACCCCCCCCCCCTCCCACCCCCCCCCACCCCCCTGCCCCTCACCATCCCCCCTGGTAGGCGCGGGCAGTAATCGTCCTGCCCCCCCCCACCCTTCGAGCCCGTCTCGAAGTCTGATCCTTGCCTCACCAGGGCAGCGTTGACTCGTGGTGTGGTGTGGTATGACGTCCTTTGGGTCGTGGGTTGTAGCTGGTCGGTGGTGCTTGGCAAGAGTGGAGTGAGTGTGTAATGCGGCTCACAGGTGTCCGCTGACCTCGTGCTCGTGCGGCCGCTGCTTTCATCAATACTACAAAACGTGGCGACTTGTGCCTGGGGTGTTCCCACGCATTCGGGGCTTCCCCAGGACTTGCGTCCTGACGCCTCTTGCAAAACTTGGCGACGCTGCCTGAGGTGTTCCCACGCACTCGGGACTTCCTCAGGACTTGCGTCCTGACGTCTTTGAGCTTGTCGTCGATGGCACCCATCGTGGCGTTCGTCTTCGGCATGAGGCGGCACTTCGTCTTCTCGTTCTATGTAGTAGGCGTCGTTAGTGTTCAGGTTCTGGCTGGTGGGCGCAACGGTTGCGGTTCTGAGGCCCGATCTAGCCACAATGTTGCCGTCGAGCAGGTCGGCGATGGCGAAGTCGATCTCCTGTTCGTTTACCGTATTCATTATGTTGCGGAGGTCGTCGCGGGTGCCGTTGTCGAGGATCTGTTTGGCGCCGAGGTCGTAGTGATTAGTCGGGGCCTCGTAGACAGTCGTCAGGTTGGCGATGTACCGATATTCGGGAGTCTGTCTGGTGATCGACTCCGCCGAGATGGCTGCGACAAATGGTACGTTGGTCGTGGTCGCCATGAAGATCATACGCAAGACCTCTCGTGTGACGTTGTTGGCGGCGAATATCTCGTCGGCGATGGTCTCGGAGACTTGAGGCATTCCCCAGGGTGCCTCTGGGGTGCGCCGCTTGCTTGCTCTGCTGCCTATAACGCCGGTTGCATCGTGTAGGTGCCAGGTTCGTCGTGGGAGCTCTACGTAGATGGCCGCTATCTCGCCATGTAGGATCCTGCGTTGTGCTCGCCGAAGTTCTGTTGTTAGTTCTGAGGTCTGGCCATCGCTGGGGGTTGCGATCTGGGTGTAGCCCAGGCCGCTGATGCTCGTGATCCCGTTGCTGGCCATGATCTGCTGGAGGTCGGCGGCCTGTCGAGGGCGGCCAGTGATGAAGACGATCTCTTGGCGCTCGGCTGGTTCTGCAGGCGAGCTCGCGGGTGGAGTGCTTGGCGATGACTCAAGTCTGACGAACACTTTGGGTACGACGGGCGGCGTCTCGAGGAGCGGCAGCGGCGTGACGTCGCACGGGTGGGCTGGCCTGTCGCTGAAGGTTGGGTGTCGTCCTTGCTTCTTGTTGGCGTTTGTGGCCTCGGCGATGGCGGCGAGGTTCTCTGATATTTGCTGTTCTGTCAGAGGCTCCATCGCCTGGATGCGCCAGGCATGCCAGGATTTGCGGCAGCGGTGAGCCACCGATAAGTGCTTGATGGGCCTAGGAAGAGAGTGGTGCTCGGTCTGGCAGCATCGGCGCGCGGCACCTGTCGCCCTGCAGCGCGGGTCCTCGTGGTCTGGACGATCCCTGCCCATATGGAGTAGCATGCCTTGCCTGGAGGCGACTCGGCCGCAGTCGTAGCAGACGTACTTATGGTTGTTGGTGTCGTCGCAGGGGTCCAGCCCTTCAGTTGGGTGGGCTGCCGAAGTCATCTGGATGTCCTTCTGGAGCTTAGCGCCCTGAGCTTGGTCGCGAATGTGGAGAATGTAGGCCTTCGAAGCTGCCTTGACTGCGTTGGTGAATAGATTCGGCTTCTGTCGGGCCCAGTTGAAAATGTCGCGGTCGTGCTGGGTTTGGCTGGGCCACCTCTCTTTTGGTAAGTACGTTCGTAGGAAGTCGAAGTCTTTCTTGAGCTGGCGGCTCCATGTGCCCTTTCGTTGGCGCTGGCCGTCGAGTAGCTGGAGTAGGACTGCTGGAGCATTATTCAGGAGTCTAGGGAAGTATCGTAGCCGCGCTATCGACTGGTGGGTGATGAAGTCGGGTACTCCTGTCTTGGCGATTGCCTCGGCTTCGGAGATGTGCTGGTCGGGTGAGTTGGTCTTGGGTAGTGAGGCTGCGACACGGCATGGGCCCATGTACTTGGCGGATATGTGCTTCAGGTCCTTCAAGGTCAGGTCGCTCCAGACGTGGTGGTTGTATGTAAGCGAGGATGTCGAAAAAGAGTGGACGTACTTCACCTTGGCTTTCTTCGAGAGCTTCTTGCGGCGGAGGATCTGCTTCTCGAGAGGCCCGGCTGCGCCGAGCGCACGGTTGACCCTTAGGCAGATCTCTGGCCCCATGACCCCGCCCGCCGAGATGATGGCACCGAGGGCTTTCTGTTGCGTTACTTGCTGCGCCTTGATAGAAAGTCCGTCCAATTCTAGGTATGTGATGCCCTCCTTGGTGATCCGCTGTTTCTCCTTCTTGGCCCCCGCGCCGTAGTGCATGAGGATGGCCTTGGTCTTTTCCGGGCGTGGCTTCAGGCCGTGCTGGAATGCTGCTGCGCAGAGCCTGGCAGCTGCCAGAGCGGTCGTGTTGATCTGTTCGTTGGCGTTGGCGGTCGAGTTGCAGTCAGTGAGGTCGTCGATGAAGGACATGTTTCTGAGCGCGCTTCCTTCGTGAGGGGTAGGTGAGAGGCTCGCTGCAGGCCTCTATCTCGTGTCCGCCTATCTGCTGGCCGTGGGCCTCTTCCTCTCGGACTGCCTGGTCGAGGGCCCTCAGCATGATGGCGAAGTGTATGTTGAAGGCGACGTCCGAGTATGGTACTCCAGGTCGGGTGCTGGTCCGAGGCAGCTGGTAGTGCCTTGCGCTCTTGGCTGTCAACCAGTTGGAGGTGTGGTGATCTGCGATCATGTGGCAAAGGTGCTCGTCGTCGATGTGCTGGTTGTTGTAGGCGGGCTGCTGAAGTCGTTCCTTTAGCGCTGGTCTGATGAATTCGGGAATGTCAATCCGTTCGATGAGCTCGTTAAGCTCGTCGGCGGTGGTCGGCAATTGCATGCATAATTCCCTGATGACGGAGTGGAAGGCCTCCCTGAGGTCCAGGAAGGTGATGCTGCATGATCTTGATCTCCTTTGGCAGTCGCTGATGAAGGCGAGGCTGGTGTGAGTGATGAAATCCGTGGCCATCTTGGGTCGGGCGCCACACTGGGTTGCTTCTAGGAGCTCAGGTAGCAGGCCCTTCACGCGGGAGCGGAGGAAGCTGCCGTGCATCTTGCCCATGGTGTTGTTGAGCAGGATGCCGCGGTAGGATTTCTGGAGCTCCATGGCCCCCTGTCCCCTGTGGAAATACGTGGAGTACCCGCCCTTGGCGGCGATCGGCTCGGTGCTCTCGAAGTGGATCCTGACTAGGACGGGGTGGAGCAGGCGAGCCATCCCTTCAGGGCTGGCTCTGGACATGTCGTCGGTGAGCTGGTCGGGGCCTCCTCGGCGGCCTCGCTTGGCGGCGGCGAGCTGGCCGGTCAGCTGGTGCTTGGGTATTATGGTTTGCATCTTAGGTCCTGGTCCTTCGTGGCGGGTCCTCTTGTTGTAGTCGGCTGCTGCCCCGTCTGCGTCCGTGGCAGTAGCCTGCTCAACTTTGCCGTGGAAGGCTAGGGCGTGGTCGGCGATCTCGCTCTTCGTCGTGAGGGGCTCCCCGTCGTCGTTGGTGCGGATGATGGGCGTCGGCGGCTTCTTGGACTTTCGTCCTCCGAAGGCCAATAGTCGCTTGGTGTACAGGGCCTCTAAACGGGGGGCGTGGTCGCCGATCGCTGAGCCCATCTCGTCGGCGGTCCTCTCGAGGAAGTCGTCGCGGTCTGTCGTGATCCACTTCTGCAGGGTCGACTTAGACGTCCTGAGGAATTGGAGAAGGGCGTCAAAATAGTGCTGGGCGCTGTGCACGGTGTTGGCATCGTCGGGCTCCACGACATGGGTCGCTAGGCTGGGAGTGCTGAATATGATAGAGGCCACCACAAATTTCGCGTAGTCGCGGAGATCGGCCAGGGCGCTCACGCCGGCGGGGTCGGGCAGGAGGGCTTCCATCGCTATGATCTTGGCCGTGTAGCGCAGCCTCTTGTCACCGAAGTGGCTGACAATCCTGTTTTTCTCGGCGATCCGCGTCGTCTTGAGTATCGAGCGGCGAACTCGCAGGAGTGCAAAAGACCGCCTGGTGATGTAGGGCTTGTGTGGGGCGCGGCCGTTGGAGCGGAAGCACTCGTGCGCAGCCTCCGTGATCTTCTCGGTGACTATGGCGAGGTGCTCGTTGAGGTTGGTGCCCCAGTGCGGGTGTTTGACCTCGTCGGGTTTGTGGCAGAACTTTTTGCGGCACCCTTCGTCGGCTAGCTTGCTCTCGTCTAACTTCGGGACTCCTTTGGTGACGGACGAGACGATCTGGTAGGCAAGCTGCAGCTTGACTGGGTAGTGGTCGTCCTTGGTCTCTGGGTCTTGGCCGCTGTCTATGCCGTGGAGCACGGCGCACTCTTCAATAGAGTCGATGTAGCCCTTGGGGATGATGACGCAATCGATGCGATGGGGCTTGCCCGAGTGCCAGGTGTAGTGCTCTGGCCCATGGCTGACGAAGGTGTTGGCGGCCGCCAGGTGGTTGGTCAAGAGAGGCTCATGTAGACGGTGTCCGTTTGGGTCTTCGTTCTGCTTGAAGCCCTTGTCGCCGATGGCCGTGCTGGTGATGTTGCCTGCCCTGGCATTTGCGTCGAAGAAGATGATGATCACTTGGTGTTTTTCGGTGGTCTCCGCGAGCTTCTTCCAGTAGCTATCCTTCTCGGTCGCGAGGGCCTTCGAGTGCGGGGCATGGGCGACGGCGAGCGCGTGGTTGAGCCAGGGGCGGCAACGCGAACGATAAGGAGCGTGGGGTCCTTGACGATGACTGTGAACTGGTCGGGTTTGAAGAAGAGCTCCTTTTTTACCGCTCTTGCCGTAGGGCTTGCTGCGTAGAACGTGAAGCTCGCAGCCGTAGTTGAACCCTTTGTGACCGCTGGAGATGATGTGGTAGCAGTTAGCGTTGGCGCATCTGGCGTCGTCGTCTTGTCCTGCGTCGCGGACGCCCCAAGGCGTCCTTGCCTCCTGGATACCAATGAGATGGAGGTCCTCGTCGTACAGGCAGGCCATCGTGGACTTAAGCTTATGGATCTTCTCTTTTCGACGCTTCGATCCTTCCTTTGGCTCTCTCCCCGACAAGATGTTGAAGGTGGCGATGTTTATTTCTACGAGAATCTTCTTGTCGCTGGACTCGGTGGGGTTGTGAAAGTGTCGGGCCTCGGCGGTCGTCTCGACCCTGTTAGCTGTGAGGTTGCCGTGGCCGAATGCGGGGTATGCCTCCCTAGTGTTGGGATCCGCGTCGACCAGGAACTCCCAGTCCCGCTGGGATGCACCATCCATGACGCTTGCCCACTCTGGCTGAGGAGGTATAACTTCTTGCAAGCGTCCGTGGTTGGCGGCGGCGTCGGCAACCTCGCTCCACGGGTTGTAGTCGTGGGCGTGGACGTGCTGCAGGCCGGTCTTGTTGCTGACCATGTCGTAGAGGATGCAGAGTGTCCTGAAGAGCTTGGGGTCGTGGTCGGTGGCGGCTAGCCTCTTCGCGAGCTGCAGGGCGCCGAGCGAGTCCGTGGATATCGTGGTGATTTGATGGGGGTTGTAGTGTATCACCCAGGCAGAAGCCCATATAAGGGCTGTGATCTCCACGGTCGTGGAGGTGGTCTCGTGCTCGACGTTGTCCTTGAGGGCGATGTCAGTGCCGCTCTTGTGCTTCCCTATGATGGCCCCCTGGAAGCTGAAACCGTGGTTGTCGTCACCTACGATCACAACGGACCAGGCATCGTCGCTCGGCTTCTTCGAGTTTTTGGAGCCGTCCGTGAAGAGATGGATCTTTGCTCCTTCCTGGAGTGGTCGTTGTGGGTGGTGACGGAGCACGTAGTCGGCTGTCTCGTTGGGACACTCGTCGCATAGGTCAAAAATGATGTGGGGAGATGGTGATTGCTGTATCGTTTGTCGGATGGTTGGTCGCTCGTCGAATTGTACGCTGCGCTGCTCTAGCGGCGGGGGTGGCATGTCGGGCGTTGTCGTTGGCTGGTTGGGTGGTGCTGGGGGCTTGACGCTGGTGGCTCTGAATGGTTGGGTGCCCTTCCCTCTTGCTCGATGTAGACGCTGGCCTGCAGTATGTGTCTGTGCTTGGGCGTCGGACAGACGCGTCGATGTTGGGGGAGTGGGGATAGCAGTGCTTCGAGAGCGGAAGGGTTGCATGGCGCGTCCCCTGTCGGTATGCTTGGCGTCTAGGCGTGTGGCTTCGATGTCGTAGATCTCTCGTGGATATATGCAGTTGGCTGCCGCAGGGACGGGTGGTGCTGCGTCGGCTCTCCTGGGCGTCTGCGCCGCTTGGCTGCGCATCCAGGGCATCTGCAGCGGCGCAGCTGTAGGTCCCATGGCGTTGGCTGGCTTGGCCTCTGGAGGGCCGTTGGAGGTCCTGTGGTACTCTCTAGGGGGAGAGTGTGGCGATGCAGAGAGGCAGGCCTCGGGGGGTCTCCGAGGTCCAGCCGGTGGTGGCCTGTGGAGTAAGTCTTGGTGCTGCTCCTCAGGTTGTTGCAGTCCTTGCTGCTGCGGCAGCTGCAGTCCTTGCTGCTGCTGACGTCGGCTGGCCTCCTGGTTGGGCTCCTCGTTGGGCGCTTCAGGAGAAAATTGATACGGCGCCTTTGGGCCAAAATGGCTGGTCGCCTGGTTCGCCTTCTGCTGGGCTCGTCTCTGGGGAGCGGGTCGGTCGGGCCGATGGGGGCTAGCCCCGTCTGGCCTCGCTGGCCGCCTAGGTGGGGTGGTTGGTGCACTGCGGTTGTCGGCCGAGGGGGTGGTCCTCGGTCCGGCGGTTGGTGCAGTCGCGGTTGCTAGTGCCCGCGCGCTGCCATGGTCGTAGTGCTGGTCCCAAGGCGCCGCGGCTGAGTAGATTACCCACTCGCTGATAGTGTTGAAGCTAATCTTTTTATTGGTTTTGATTTTTTTTTGTGTCGCAGTCGCTGGTTGTGGAATGCTAGGTTGCGCGGCCGTTGGCGTCAGGCGGCGTGCTAACCCACAATCTAACACCGCTGAGGCGGTCGGCGGCCTCCCAAGTGGGGCCTGTGGCTGTAGAGGCGGCTGGGCCTGTCGCTGAGTGTCTGGCGCCGCATGGGTCGCACAGCACATCTGCTGGGGCTCAGTGGTCGCTCCGTCGAGCTGGTTGTTACGTATAGCCACTCTGAACAGGCTAGGTGCTCGGTCTTCTGGCGGGGTTGTGGTGGGACTCCCCCGCTGGGCCAGTTGCCCCCCAGCGGGGGAAGTCCTGCTCAGTTTTTCGTCGTGTCAGAGCTTGAACCCGAGCTGCCCTCCTGACTCTCGGGGTTGAAGCGCCTGCGGTCCATTGGGTTGTCGAATCCGTCGCCGTCATCCAGGATCCGCACCTTGCGCGCGGGCCTGTTGTGAGTGCTTGCCCCTCGTAGTGCCGATGGTGGTGCAGATCTGGCACGGTCGGGAGTGGCGATGTGGAACCGTGCTGGAAGTGGCTTCGGGGAATATAGTTGGGCGGGTGCGAAGGGGGAGCCGACTTCGAGCGCGGTGGGGGGGCGTGGGGGGGGGGGGGAGTCAGGGTTCCCCAATAGGGCGGTCTGTGCGTGGGACGGTCGGAAATGTCGTGGGGGTGTGGGATCGTCGGGGAGCGGCAGGGACTGTGCCCTCTGCATGGGGGGCGGCCATGGGTGTCGGGGGGGGGCGGGAAGGGGCCTGCTCCCCAGGGGGCAATTGGTGTCGGTTGCTCGTCGGGGGGGGGGGGGGGGGGCGGCGATGCTCGGACTGTCGGAGTGTGTGTGGAGTCGCCGAGGTCGTGGTCGTTTGGGTCGTCGAAGCTCTGGTCCTCTGCGTGTCGTGTGGGAAGTGGTGTAGATGTCTCGGCCGCGAATCCTTCGTGCGTCTACGGAGTCTTCGGGGGCGTTCCGTCTCCCGCAACTGGCGTCGGAGCAACTCCTGAGGAGGATGCGAGGTCGATGGGGGGGGGGGCGAGTGGTTGCGGCGTCGTCGCTGGTGGTGGGACTGGTGATGGGCGGTGTGCTGGTGCTGGTGTCTGCGTGTTGTTGTGCGGGTCGGTGGCCTGGTGGGGCTTTGGAGTAGCTGGGTGCGTGCAGTTGTCGCCGGGGTCCACGGAGCGGTCTTCGATGTTCTCGCTCCCACAGTGCCTCCGCCTGATGATATCCGTCTTGGCGCTGGTGTAGTTGCCGCACGACTTGCAGAAGCTGCAGTAGAAGGGCGGCGTTAAGCCATTCGAAGATCCTGAATATGAGGGAGCGCCGCGATGCACTGCAATGTTCGGGGTCGCCTTCGGCATGAGTTCGGCGTAATACGGTTCACGGGTCACGTCGTAGTCGAACTCGTGCGACGGAGCGATGGCGTGGAGGGCGGAGCGTACGTTGTCCCGCTGGTAGGCCTCCTCGTCGTCGGCTTGGGCTTGCATCTTCTGCTTCTCGTTTTCCGTGGTGAGCGCACTGGCGACGCCGTCGAGCATGTCAGTATCGATCCTGGCTGCGATGCTGTCGAGCCGCCCCCGCAGGGTCTTCTCGAGAAGCGCTTGGTGCACTCGATGCTTTTCCTGTTGTCGGGCCAGCTGTTCGCGACGGTGCTCTTCCTGTGGTTGTCTTTGTGCCAGTGCGGCTTGTAGCTCAGAGTTGGCGAGCTGCTGCTGCTGGTGCATCTCTGCCTCGTATTGGCCGTATCTCTCCAGGAACTGCTCACGTTGATGCTGGTCGTACTTAGTCTTGTGGTGCATCTGCTGCTGGAGAGCCTGGGCCTCGTTGAAGAAGAGCTGGTGCTGCAGGGTAGCCCGTTGGTGCTCCACTTCTTTGGCTTCGAGCTGGTCGAACTTGTTCTGGATATGGCGCTGCGCCTCGAGCTGGAGCTCCGCCTGCTGGTAGACCACCTCTCGCTCCCTCTGGACGGTGGAATGTTCCTCCATGAGCTTGTTGGCGGCAATGGCGGTCTGCTGCTGGATCGCGTGCTCTTGTTGGATCTCCTCTCGCTTTAGGTCTGCTTGGGCTTCCGCGATCTGCTCAGCAATGCCGTTTTTTCTTTGCATCTCCTGAGCCGCCATGACTTGCACGGCCTGCTCCTCGAGACGGAGGTCCTGGTTCATCTGCTCGATCCTCTGGCCCTCACGCTGCAGTCGTTCGCACTCGCGGTGAAGTTGTTCGCTCATCGCTTGCTGGCGGGCTGCTTCCTCAGAGGGCGGTGCGGTGCAAGCCTGGGAGGCCGCTTCCGCTCGGATGGCGCCCATCATGTTGTCAGCCTCCTGGCGCTTCTGCTCGTAGGTGAGCTTCTGGCGCCTGAGGTCGCGTCGCAACGCGCGCTCGTGGTTCTCGATCCTCTTCGCTTCCTGCTGCATCTTCTCTGCGTAGAACTTCTCAATGCAGGAATGCACGCTCTTGCCGAACTTCTTGTCGGCGGAGTGCCTCGGTGTTCCTTGATATAGCTTGTTCGGTGGAGTTCATGGCAGTCTTGAATAACTCCTGCTCGCGACGCACGAGCCTGTCTCTGTTTTGCATCTTCATCTCGGCAAAGCACTGCCGCATGGCCTCCACCTCCTCCTCATATTATTCTGACTTTTTGCGGAGCTCGGCGTTGGCGATGCTGGCTTGGTTCCTTCCTTTTCGGCGTGATTCCTCGTCCTTCCTCCTGAGCTGCTCTGCGCTGATGCTTGATGGGGAGGCCGGCCTGCTCGAGCATGATGAAGGAGGCTCTCGACTGGCGCGACGGCGAAATAGGGTGCTGGCCCTTTTGTTTTTGTGTTTCTTCATGTCGTCCTCGGAGTCGGCCTCGCAATCGGCGCCGGCTTCGGCGGCAATCTCCATCTTGACGTCTGTGATGAGGCGCCGCAGGTCGGAGATGCGCTGGGCGTTGGCGTCCGCCTTGGTCTGCAGGGCCTCCTTCTTCTCCTGGATGTCCTTCTGCTCCTTTGCCAGCACCTCTATCTGAGACCGATATTGTTGTAGCCGGACGTGTGGATCAGTGGCCATCGCGAGCATACGTTTGATGACTGAGGCCTCGGTAAGCAACTTGCTGGCGTCAACCTTGGCGGACTGGGCGCCGCTGATCTGATCCGCAACTCGGCCAAGCCTCTGTTGGAGGTTCCTCGCCCACAGATTCCTCATGTCAGGGTCCCCTGGCGGGAGGCCGAAGGACTCGTGGTCGCGATATATGGAGAAGGGAAGTTCCAGCACTGCGTCGGCGACGGCCTGCTGCCTCTTGCTGAAGGTGACTTCCTGGATGTGAACGGCGGCCTTCTTCCTCGACTCGGAGCGGCTCCAGGAGCTCTTGCTCTTGTATGCAGATCTCCGCCAAGGCCATGGTTGCTCACCCACTGCGGGCCCAGGGTGTGTGGTCCCTGCTCCTGACCACCTTTCCCCTGGGCCCTGCGGCGCCTGGGCTGTGGACCCTGCTCCTGTCCACCTTTTCCCAGCGCTGCGATGCGACGCCTCGAAGTGTGTGGTCCCTGCTCCTGACCACCTTTCCCTCGAGGCGCCGCGCTGCTGCTTCCAGTGCTGCGTCATCTTGTCCACTTGTGGCTGCAGGTCGCGCTGGTACTCCTGCGCGGAATGGTGGCCGCCGATGGTCCTGGCGGCGCCCAGCACTCTGAGGAGGGTCCTCGCCGAAGAGCGACGAGCTCTTGCCCTCCTGTGCCACGATGGCTCCGCCGTCCTGCGGGCGGCGGAGGCGCGGCCGCGGCGCCTGCGGGCGGGCGGCTCGCGAGCCTGGCCGATGGGCCCGCCGCGCGGATCGAGGGGGCGATGACGACGACCCCTGCGCAGGTGCGGCCAGGCCCACCTCGGCCAATGGCTTGTCCCTCCTCCTCCTCCTCCTCCTCCTCCTCCTCC